TCACTAGAATACATGCATTACATGTGCTATAATACACAATCAAGTAAACTTATAGTAATTTCAGATATGCAGTATGGGCAATATATTGATAACTTAGATCAACCATTTACATCCACAGAAGAAAGAAAAAGAAGAAAAGGAAACAGTGAGAAGTCCCACCAGTGCCATACAATAATAAAAATGATTATGTCAACAAAAAAGACTTAATAATAATAATAATTTTAAGCATGCAAAAAGTTAAAAATAATCAGGGAAATTAATTAAACACCAAAATATAACAATATTTATTATCAAAGGATGTAGGGAAATCAGATGAACACAACAATACTTAATCTTTAAAGCTATTTATGCTAACAGAAACCTGTAAATATGTACTTCTAAGATTTTTTTTTGTTCATTTATTTTTTTATTACAAATAATCTATAATATGAGAAGGGTGGATGCCCTCTGAAAATAAAAAATAGGGCAGTTTTCATGAATAAACATGTATGATTATATGTTAACTGCTCTTTGTATTCCTCTAACCATGGGTAACTTAATAATAAATAATCAATGAAAATAATGATGGTGATGGTAAAACTAAGAAGTGATAATAATACAGTTATGAAAATAACTTACTAAACAACAATGATAATAATAATAGCAATAGTAATGACCATATTAATAATAAGTGTTAATACATATAAAAATAGATATGAAATAAACATCAAATGAGTTGATATAAAAAATAGTTATAGCAAATACAAAGGTTCTCTAACAAATGGTAATTCACAAATAATATTAGCAATATACCAAAATGAAGCAGCAACATATTTTTATTCTTAAATTCAACTGTATAATTCAAAATCACAAGGTATAACGGAAATTCATTGCATAAATAACACTTAGGAAGCACCAGAAACAGACATATAGAGTAAACTTCAATTTTATTGGGTCAATTAAGTAGAACAATAACAACTGCTTTCTTTTTCACTCTGTAGATTATTTCCCCTTTTTCATTCAAGTAAGAATGATTTGACTACAGATGACTACTTTATTTCACTTACGACTAGATAAAAGTAGCTCTTGCATCCTTTATTTTTTGTGTCAATACAAATATCTATAAGTCATGAAGCACCCTCTATCAATTATTATGTATGTATCCAATGACTGACACCCTGTGCAACAACCTCTGTTGATGGATTGTAATTGATTAGGTACGCATCATCCACAGCCAACAATTAGACACCATAAACACAATTACAGAATCCCACTATCCCCACAAAATAAATACTCTTTCTTCATATACACACTAAACCATCTAATTGGACTTTGACTTTCCTGTGCTCAAAATTCACCCATAGTAGTGGTATACAGCCATGGCACAAACAATTACTAGAATACTGCAATACATAACTGTATTCTGGAAGTGAAAACAATGTGAAGTGAAGAATCTTTAACCCACTGATGCTAAGAATATGTACTGCCCAATATGGTAGTCTTATTATTTCTTTTCACACAGATATTTCCACGAGCTTTTAGTTACCAAAGAATGAAATACTAGGGCTACCTGACTTCAATTTTTCATCCCATTCCTTGATAAAAAAAAAAAAAAAAGTTTTGATTTCTATTAATATCATCATTATTCAAATCAGCATTGCCATTACTGTCATTGTTATCTTATCAACATTAATAACAATAACAAGAGCAATATTTTTCTTCTGAAAATTGAAGTAATTTGGTAAATAAGTGAAGTCAGCTAGTCTTATTAATATTTGTCAATCTATCTAGACTATGTATGAAATATAATAAAACAAAATTGTAGTGGGCACTACATATGTACATAAATTCCAAGCATCACCAGCTAAATCAATAATACAATAAAAATGTATTCATATTTCATTTACATCTGGATGAGATGAGATTTAAAGAAATGAAACAGGAATACAGGATAGCTACTCATGCCAGAAAACTCTGTATGTCAATGAAAAAAAGATGAAAATTAAATAATAACAATAATAATCCGAAGTATAATCATAATAATAACAAAATTGTTAAGGATGAGATTAAAATCAAACAAAACAAAAGTTATCAATTCTTCTGTCAGTCACTCTTCAGTACCATAATCAGGTAATACAGTTATCTCAAATGCCATAAAATAAAGTTCATGTCTGCACTTAGCTCTCAACAATATCAAAAGCGATCATAGAAGGCACTTATCACGAGGGTATGCAGCAAATAGGTGACAAGGAGAGGGACTGAACTAACTGGTGCTTATTAGGATATAAAAATAAAAAACAATAATAATAATAATAATAATAATATCAATAATAATAAAAATAATAAATAATAATAAAAATAATAAATAATAATAATAATAACAATAATATCAATAGTAATAATTATAAACAATAATAATAACAATAAAAATAAATAAATAAATATGAACTAATAAATAAAATAGACAATTGTAATGATATTTAATTAGCTGCTCTTACTATCAACATCTGGTAATCAAACA